GTAGGAATAAATTCCAATTGTAACAATTTACAACTCTGGTTGGATGATCTGATTTTATTTATTGATCCTACCGCAGTGCCCTAAGTCTCTCATCCTTATGACCAAGACTTAGTTAAGACTAACCCGGGGCGAGTCAGTACCCTAGTTACGGGTTTCGCGCCTAACCAACGTAAACCGGGCGTCTCACTTGGGTGAGTCCGTTACCGATCTAAATTGGGTTTGACGAGTGACGGGGCGTCGGGGTGGCACAGACTTAAAATTATGAGGGATTTATAACGCAGTCTTGCCTATGGCATACACCGCGCGTATGCACTAGCGAAAATCACATACATGCATACATTCAATCATACATCACATGCATAATAAGTAAACGTGAAATGATTGTGGCTCCTAAAGAAAAACAAACGATAGCGCCTTGATCAAGAGATCTCTATCTCCGGCCCATCACGTCTTCCTTAGGATTCTCTATCACGAACGGACTTCGTCTTCTTATCTTCTTATAATTTTCGAGAGAAAAGAATATTTGAGGTAAAGAAGAGAATTACATCCAGAGTATAGAGATGAGGCACGACACGCAGGCCGTATTTAAAATTACAACAAATATAACTAAGCCACAATCATCCACCATGCAATAATACATACAAGCATCACATGCATCACATCATACATATTAAAGCATACACCGGGCGAACCGCGCTCGCCCCAGACCTAGTTTATTCTATTCTACGGAATAAACTATCAACAATAAGTTAATTAAACTAGCAAGTAATTTAATTAAAAATCATAAAATACTTTAAATTTCCAGAATGTTAGAAATTTGATTTTCTAAATTCCAGAAAATAAAATATTTTATATTTACCGTATTTATATATATTTAAATTCGAAAAAGGGCTTTTATTTCGAATTAAATATATATATGTTTTATAAATTAGCAAATAATTGTTGGAGACTCCCAGTAAACTTTATTAATTTGGAAATCCTAAAATTCCAGAATGAATAAAATTTAAAATTTTGAAAACCATTTTTCAAAGATAGAAAACCGAAATTATATTGTGAAAATATATTTCGAAATTACAAAAATATCAAAATTTATTTTCCAAGTAAAAAATAAGTTCCAGAACCAGAATATGATTTTTCTTGAATTTCAAATATTAATTTTGCAATTTAAAATAATTAAAAATCGGACTAGTGAATAGTACCGATCCAATTACTTCAAAAATACAAAATAAATACTTTTACGTGTTTAAAAATTATGAAAATTCTTATACAAGATTATAATCTCTGGTCGAAACTTATTATGAATTAAAATTAATTTTTGATCGTCAAAAATAATTTTTCCTATTTTCTATTCAATAAACGAATTTAAAAATAGAAAAATAGGAAATTAATTCCAAAAATAGATTTTAAAATTTCTGAGTTATACTGACATGTCAAATACTTCCCAGAAAATATAAAATCTAATTTTCATAAATATTAAGTATTTATGGCACAAATAACAAGTATTCTACGCATAAACTACTTAATAAGAATAATATAAAAATACCCCAAACAGTAATTCCGAAAATTACTGAACAAAATTATATTAGGTCCAGTATCTAAATATGGCGACCTAATTAAATTTTTAATGGGATAAATTTTTGTCTCCAAAATTTATTGACTAATCTACAAAAACAATAACGGTAAAAACTACTAAACTAGTAACTTCGTAAGCCGGCTCTGATACCACTGTTGGGAAACGAGGCTTGGATAACACAGCGGAAAACAAAAATTTATAGTCCAAAACTCGATTACACCCAAGAACAACTTACGTAAATTACTAGCTATAGTAAGAAATTTACCTTAACGGTGAAAACGAAGAACGGAGGAACGGTCGGGGATGGTTTTGAGGAGATGAACGTAGCGCCAAACGTATGAAGCCTCCAACGTATCCACACGAACTTGCTCCGGAGTCCAAGATTAAACTTGTGCTAGCAAGTTTAATATAGGATAGTAAAAACTATAATAATACTACTTTGGNAAAATATTTATCTTATAAATATTTCTTTATAATATTTTGTGTATATTTCTAACACATTAGAAAAATAACTTTGAACACAAAATAAAATTTTCTTCTCTCTAAAATAGGATGGCCGAAAATTGTTGTTTTTTTTAAATGGGGAGGGATATTCACACTATATAATACAATGTATTAAGAAAATGCTAGGAAATTGCTTAGGGACAAAAACAAAATGAGATTAGTGTAATGTCCCCAACCAACACAACAAGACAAGTATACTTTTGTTAATCAAATATTTGATTATAAAATCAAATATATCATTAGGTGGAATATCAAAATATGTTTTGTATTTTTCCCCTTAGAATTTCGGCCATATTATATTAAAATACATTACATTTTATTTTTGGCATCAATAATTATCATATAATTAAAATGATGAAAAATAAAATAAAATATATATATATATATATACACATTCGGCGCTACATATATATATATATATATATATATATATATAATAAAATTTGTTTTGTCAAAATATAATTATCATATAATTAAAATGACACAAACAAAATATAATTTTAAAATACATATGTATTTTCGAAATACATATATATATAAAATTATCACAACTATATATTTAATATTACTCCCTTAGTGTAGTATACTACTCCCTTACAAGTCCTAAGTGTGTGACCCTTTAGGTATCCATCACACTGGCAATGATATTAATATAAATTAATACCATAGATAATAAGCGGTATCTAGCAACACATTATTGTCCCCAGATTATGAAAAAGACGTTCATCCCATCAATACCTTCTACGACACAAGACGTTCTATAACTATTATCCTTCTGTCCTATATGTCATGATTTAACACAAGGCATGGGATGTGTATCCTTGTATAGTTAAATCAGCTGTTACTGAATCTCAAGTAGACTGGCAGGGATCAGATATTTATCAGTCTCTAGATAGCGACATATCTAGGCATGGCCATGCACTTTCCCAAGTCCTACTATTCAGTGGGCCCATTGACATTATACTTCTATACAGTAGAAGGGACAGATCCTGTATCTGTTATTCACATCTCTAAATATGCTTAGCGGCATACCCAACGCATAACTGTACGTCTACCAGTATTTCAGATAGCATTAGTTATGAATCAAAGCATACGGCCCCAGATATCAGAGAATGTAATAACTTCAAGTCTGAGGATAGTTATAGCAAGGTCGATTTGAGAATACTGATAAACACATTACTGTAGATCCATGCAGTATTCTCAAGATGGGTCAATCCAGTCACATATTATCAATATAATATGCACCTACATACAGATTAAGATATCACAATACCTATAGTCTATGAGACGCAACTATCTCATCTCGTACGTACTAGTCTTGATACGTTATGACGTCCGTATTATCATAAAGTGCGACTAGGGATATTCTAGACATAACCTTCGTCAAGAAGTAACAGTCTCATAATCAGAACATCGTAGTCCTCATCTATGTTACTGAAGCGCTATCGTCTATGGACTGAAGCTATGTTATGTTACACGAGATATAAAACATACTTCAAGGCCTTTCATTCATGATAAAGTGTACAGTTACATAGGTATTTGATTGCCACTAGGGCACCTAAATACAACAAGGAAGACGTACTTGGCCTCTTCTTAATCAATTCGACAATTTAATCACTTTTAAAAAATTGATAATTAAACAATATAACCAAGTAATTCACATAAACGAATCTTCTATTGGCTATGTACATGAATAAGTGCTATCTATGATTTCTACGCTACAACAAACTCACCTCGATTATTAGGCGAATTAAACAATCACAATCGAATCGAACAAAGAAGAAGAACGGCGGTGAGTAGCAGCGAAGGAGGCAGCGGCTAAATCTCCAGCGAGACCTTCTAGCAGTTTCTCCTTGTTGGGCATTCAACAGAAGTCCTATGCAACTCTTTTCTTTCCTTTAGGTGACTTTTGCTCTTTCTCGCGTCAGTCCTTCGTATTGTTACACTCCGTATTTATTTATAAGGGTCATTGGGGTTTTGGATTGTTCATTGCGAGAAGGGTTTAGGTAGAATTTTGAAGTTCTTCTTTTATTTAAAATTTTATTATAAAAATCTTTATATTTATTTATTGAAATGTAACATCTATTTTACTCATAAGTTTTTACATGTAATTTCAAACGTTACAAACTATATTGTTGGTCGCCTTTTCACGAGATCTACCTAATTACCTAATTTTTAATTAAAAGGTTGACTTTACAAATAGTTCATATTTTTTACTCAGAAATTATTATATTTATTTTTTTTAAAATAATGGCTAACTACTAAGCCAGGTTTCAGGTTGTTACACACCCTAGTCCTGCATCTTCCTTTCTTCCTTTATCTGACCGTGAAAGACGTGAAGTAGCGGTGAGGTGAACATTGGAAAGACGGCTTCCAAACAAATTTATTTATTCACCCACCCTCTGAACTTTCTAGCTCTGCCACTGGTTTGAAATAGATCTTTTCTTCAACCAAGATAGAGCTTCACGGACCATAGCTTCCGCCAATAAAAGGTTTGCCCCATGTTTAAGCCTACCATTAATGGGTGTCTGAAAAACTCCGTCATGTTCATTTAAAATGCACCCGAAACCCTCCATACATGAGTTAGCAAATATAGATGCATCCACAAAAGTCTTTTTACCAAGCAAAAGTTCATCAGCTAAGTGCACGTCTCTCACTCTAGCCTCTAGGCTAATGCATCTATTCTCCCAATCCCAAGACCAATTTTTAATCTTTTGCACCATGAGAGAAGGAATGGGGACTTGGTGTTCCCATATCGCTTGATTTCAAGGTAATTTAGGTTATTAAAAAATCAACATTTTTAAAATTCCGTCTGTCCGTTGGACACGATAGTAGTAAGTACCGCCACACAGTAGTGTAGTACCGACAATGGTAGTGGGGTCCCGCTCAGGGTAGTGAACAATACTGTCATAGGCCAAACCCATATAGTATGTTCTCTTAACACAGTAACAGTACTGGGTCACGGTCGGTGGTAGGAGTGGGCGTGAAACCCTTTCTCGTTGAACCATTCTAAAAACTCTCGGAATTGTTTTGTAATTATACCAACTAATTAGGATGATTTTTTTATCCCAGATCTATCATGTCCTAATATCAAATGTGACATGTGCAGGACAACTTAAGTTTATACCGTTCCGTCCTGTTTGTCCCATTTCATCTACTCTACTAATATATAGTCTTAATTCTAGTCCGAAATCTAAATACACTCATTCTTTAATTAATTAAATTCATTTCATAGGCTTCATCCTAAAATTTATTAACTTTATTTGGTCCAGAGTCTAGACTCGAGAGCCCAGACCTCTTTTCATTCTCGCTAAGTCGCTAGTCACTCTACTCGTTGTTACATCTCGTTCAGTTGGACTAAAATTAACTTTAATAGACTGTCATTCTTCCACGATTCATCAATTCATCTTGTCCATACATCCAATTCGACTCACTAAAGATTCATTCTTTCTCAATTCATATGTTTGCATGAGAATTCATCTCTCTTTCTTTGTTCTTCGTTCTTCCTCAATTATTCACTTCCTCAATCAATTCAAAGCCCAGACCCTAAGAGTTGTCGTCTCCATGAAAACATGATTCCTGATTTCATATATCTAAAGCATTCGTACGTTTAAATTTGCCTTGATTTGGATATTTCTCTTCAATTTTTTAGTGCTTAAACAATTGAGTTGCTAATATTTAAATATTTAGATTACACTAGATTGCTAGATATTAAATTAATTTGTATAGTTTTTGTTGAAACCTTATGAAACAATTAGGTTGTATTCTTGAATATTAAATTAGTTCGAAGCATTTGGTTGAAGCATTCTTTATAACATATGGATATAACTAAACTCAATCACTCTTAATGGATTCAACTTAGCTTCAAAAGACCTGAACGTGAAGCTGCTCGGACAGATACAAATTAGATTCTTAATCACTATTACAATGATCTTTACTGCTCTTGTTTTTTGCTGGATGACTAGATGTTTGTATGTTTTTGAATGAAAGGTCAGGTGCCTCAGCTGCTCAGGAAACAAAACTGATATTTTAACTATGGAAGATAGACATATTTTGGATTCTTGGCACATGGAAATAGAGGTTAATGGGAAGTTGAATTTTTGTTATATTGCTTGGTTTTTGTTCTACTGCTCAATTTTTGTTCACATGCTTACATGAGAAATCTCTAGTTAAACCCAGTGTTTTGAAGACTAGACTGGATTGGCCGGTTCAACCGGCCAGACCACGACCTAGAGACCAATCGGTATGGTTCATTAGCCAAACATGTTTCCTTATTTACCCAATGAATTGGATGACTCGAGTTAGCCCAATCGGGTCACTGGTTCGGATTTAAAACTGTATTTATATTTAATTCAAAAAGTGAAATGGAGGGATGGGGGATCAAACTTGCATCCTTTAATAACTCAACATACATTTTGTCCACTTGAGATACTACAACATTTGTTCAAATGTCTTACAACACATAATATATCAGCTATTTATATTTGAAAAACTTAGAGAGGCATCTATTTAAAATATACTCCGTATTTATTTTATGAACTTCTAAATTAATTCAAAGCAAAATACATTACTTTTTCAAAAGAAAAAATAAGTATAAATATTCTATACCCAAAAAATTATTTTCATCTTCAAAATTTTAGTATGGAGTAATATTTACTAAACAAAATATGAAGGGTTTCTCTCTCTAACCATGGGAAAGAGAGGAAGACCACCCAAAACGGACGGCAAACCTGCCGGAGAAAGCAGTACTACACGGGAAAAGTCATCGAAGAAGGAGGACCCCCCCTCCTAACACCTTGGATATCAGTAACGAAGGTGAGAAGTCGGAAATATCGCAATCACTAGATCTGAATATAGAACAGACTGCTCATCTTGAATTGCAGACAAAAAGTTAGGCTGATGTGGTGGGAATTCAAGAGGATCTCAACCTTGATCT